AGCCTGAGCTAGCGCACGAGCCAGCCAGTGACCAGTGCACAGTCCCTCTTTCAGGAGCAACAATCTATAAGTATTTTCCCTCTTATCTTCATTGCTCACTTTATTTTCCGCATTTAGTAGTTTTATGAGTTCCATCATGTCATACCGTAGGCCTACCTGGAGTACACACGCCAGGAGACCATGGCGTGGCATCAGAGGATTTATGAACACCAAGTGCAGAGGGATAGCCAGATGCAGCAGGCTTTTCAGGAAATGGCGGCCGGCAGGTGTCCTTAGTTCCCTCCAGCACAATGCCCTCCAGCACAACAAGTGCTGCTGAGCTTTGAGGAGTTTGTGGCACAGAACGCTGGCCCCTCGCCGGTTAGTTCATCCCCAATCTATTCACCCGAAGCATGTCATGCCTTTCAACACAGTCATATATCCCATTAATATGTCTTTTCAACATCCAGGGAACAGGTGGATCTACCGTTGGCGGTGGTCTTCGCAGCACTTCGGAGACACGGAGCCCGACCACTCCGATCCACGGAGGCGGAGGCGGAGGCGGAGGTGGAGGCGGTCTTGGCGGTAGCGCTGCCGCTAGCAGTGACGACTTGGGCTTCGGCGATCTTAGCGGTGACGACCTCCGTGGTGCTCGACGTCCTGGCGCTTAAGCCTTTGGGTCACATTGTGGCGATCTTGGTGGTGATGATACTTATATGCTAGTGATGTTTCTTATTGTTGTTTGTGAGATTCTTATATGCTTTGGTGGTGATGATACTTATATGTTTATGCTTTGCGATGCTTCTTATGATGTGTGATGATGAATTTGTTGTGTGATGCTGCTCCTTATTGTTATGTGATGCATATATTGTTGTATGATCCTTATATATGATGTATACATTCAAATGAATTGAGCTGAAACAAAACAGAAAAAAGAAAAAAAACAGGCAAAAACTATGCCGACGGCCTAGCCGCCGGCATAGAGCTGTCGTGAGCTCCCAGTGGCTGACACGTGGCAGGTCTATGCCGACGGCCTAGCCGTCGGCATAGTTTAAAACTAAGCCGACGGCCAGGCCATCGGCATAGCCCTGCTCCCAAGAGAGCCCAGTTGCTGCCACGTGTCAGGTCTATGCCGACGGCCTGGGCGTCGGCTTAGTTTGAACCTATGCCGACGGCAAGGCCGTCGGCATAGACCTGCCCCAGGGGTGACGCTTGCTCGCCACGTGGCCGACGACCAGGCCGTCGGCATAGACCTGACACATGGCGAGCAGGCGTTGGCCAGGACTTGATGGCGGCCGCCGTTTGGAGGTAACGTTGCCGACGGCCAGGGCCGTCAGCATAGATGTACGGACACCGTCAGGATAGGACCTATGCCGACGGCCTTTCTATGCCGACGGCCTCCCAGGCTACGCCGACGGATATGTTGCCGACGAGGGCCGTCAGCATAGGCCTGTCCCCACGGCCAGTCAGGCTATGCCGACGGCCAAGACCGTCGGCATAGGGTGCGATTCCGGTAGTGGCTGTCTGTGATGGAAAATGGCACTGGATCCGTACCATCGTAGTGTCTATGGATTTGTCCCGGCTGCCCTTGTTTTCTGGTTACCGTGAGCCACTGACCACCTGGTTCGACATAAAGCAGGCAAGTAGCTACAGGTTGTGGCGAGGACACATGGGCCAGTACAATTTGTTGCATGAGTGCACTCGTCACAACTTGTTGGACAATCTAATCAGTAGTGTGAATGGCCTGTTGGTCTTCCAACTAGAGGAAAGCGGGATGCAGCACAAATACCATGACACACGTGGCTTTAGGATTCCACAAGATTTGAAGGGTCTGTTGTTCGAACGCATATGGGAAAAGTTGAAGTTATCATACACATGGCCCCGCAATGTTGAGGAGGAGGAGGAAGAAGAAGAGGGAGACAGAGTTGTGCAGTTCGATCCTGATGAGTTGCAAGAGCTCGTTCTTATCTAGCATATGGCAACGGACATTTTCCTCCAAAAGGTCACCTTTGCAGATGAAAAATCTCAAAAATATGTGAAGTTGATCAGCAAGCTGTCTAACTACCTGGTGTTCCTCGTGGTTGTACGCCCCAACATGCTACCGGTCCGTAAGCTGCCAAGCAAGTACGAAGAAACCAGCAAAGAGTTGAAGGATTTGTTTAGTGTTGAAAACAGGCCTGCTAGTTGCAAAACAAGAGAGCAGAAGATTGCCTTTATCCTGGAACAAATGGAGAAGCTAGTTTTGAACGGCAATGGAGATGGCAGAAATAGTACTAGTAGCATCGTCCTGTCGGATGGTTATCAATATGCCCGTGTGCTACGAAGCTGTTTTGCCAAAGGGGGGTATATCGACCTAGTTAGAAGATGGGGGAAAAGTCCCGCCGAAGATTTCAGAAGTTGATGCCGAGATTGTGTTCTTACTCTGAGTTGGTCACCGATCAAGAACTGTTGAATCTCATATTTGATGCATGGGTGCTTTTGCTCATGAGTGCATCCAAATGGTCTAGCAGGGATTCCCATGCCAAGCAGCTCGGCTGTGGCGGCGACCTCGTAACCATCGTGTGGATCATGACAATACATGCCAACATATTTGGCATCCAGGAGGAAAATAACGGGGTTTGTTAATTAGTAAAGCTCGTTGGTATGTTCTAGTACCAATCATTTGCCATGTGTCCCTATCTCCCTTCTCTTTACCTTTTTGGACTAGCTAGCTCATGTGTTATGATCTCATGTATTTGTACTTTTGTTCACCGTTTTGTTTGGAATTATCTGTCCTTCGTCAGGTTGTCAGTGCAAGTCCTCTGCTCCTCCATGTGAGGAGGCTACATTCAGGATTGTAAACAAAAAAATAATATCAATGTTCTGTATTCATTTAGTGCTTTGCCTGGTGCTGGAGGAACAGACAAATTGCACGGGCTAGTTCCTTCTTAATAAGTTATAAGCTTTTTTTTGCAGGGGAGTAACAATGTTAGTAATTCATTTCTTCGCCAACCTACAAAATAAATATGTGGTATCTAGTTATTTTCATTAGCATTGAAATGGTGACTGGTAAGTGACCGAGATCATGAGCGAGAGTGGGACTGGAAGCATGCAAATCTCGCCACCATGATGGAGGGTGACATTTTCTACTATAGCTAGTGAGGCAGTGTTATGGATGGTAATGTGATTGTGGTGGGGCGAGTGGTGGAGAATGATTTCCTTATACCGCTTACTTCGAATCCGATCTAGGTGGTCAGACCGTGGTTCCGACGATGTCGACAACTATGGCAGCTGTCGAATGCTATCTATAAACCGGCGCAAGCCACATGAGGTGAGGCGCGTCGCCACTCCCCTCCATTGGTGAGGTGCTAGTATCCGCCATGCCAAGGCAGAAGAGCGTCATTCCGGCGTAGCATGGAGTACTAGCTGGCATGACTTCCGGAAGATTCATTGTCAAGATGGTTTAGAGCACCGCTTCATTTATGTGGTGGAAACTCTTGTTCTAGCCTTCATTGGTCGGGCTCAGGAGCGACAAATTAGTTGAAGGTCTCCTCCCCTTGCTGATGTGCTGACCTTAATTAGTCGGTCTCAGCAACTAGGATAAATCCTTATCTTTGTCGGTATCCGGCATATATCCCTTCTTGAAGGCGTTGTTGTTGATTGCTAAAGAAGTCAACTTAGTCGTAGGTATTAAATTCGTATCTTGTAATGGGTCTATTGCACTGTTTCAAATAGCCCGCTATAGCTCCGCTATAGCACGCTGTAGGGTTTACAAATGGTCTTGCGCTAAGAAACTTTGGTCCAAACAAGTGAACAAATATTTTAAATAGCGCGCTATAGCTCCGCTATAGCACGCTATAGCATTTGAAAGAGGTCCGGCGCTAAGATGCTTAGCGCGCTATTTAAAACTTTGGTCTATTGTAATTGTGCTGGTCACCTTCTGTTTCTAAATATAAGACGTTTTGGCAGTTCAACTTTGATGTAATTGTGCTTGTTATGGGTCTATCATGATTGCGCTCACTATGTTCCTAAATTCAAATTGAAATGCCAAAACATCTTATATTTAAGAACAAAGGTAGTACTTTGCTTGTTGATGTCTTTGGCCTCTTGTCTTGCATCAACTTTAATAAAACTAGTTGGAGTGCATGCGGTGCATGAGCGGGATAGGCTGGACTTTGTGCTCATGTGTGTGGACATTGAACATTTAGATTATAAATATGATAATTAAAATTTAAAAATATGCATGGTTAATTGTATTTAATTATTTTGTAGTTGTAAAATAGTTACTCAAAATAACTAGCATAATACAATGAAAATTTACATGCATGATTGTATGTTCAGATGAGTCATTTTCATGCAGTTGGCTGCCATGCTAAAATGGTATATTTGCATGTTAAGAGAAATAGGCTAATGGGCATCATCTTTTTAGTTATATATATAAGATAAGATAAAAATAAGTATGCATGTAGGATGACAACGCACTGATTAATTTTAAACGCAAGCAAACAAGCAACACATTAATTATAAATGGAGTCATTCTTTCATGAACATGAAGTGTCACCTGTCAATGTAGTATCATCATCAGACGTCAATCTCATTCATCTTCACCAAAGCTCTAAAGTACGCATCACATGGTGAAAATGAGATCAATGCCATCAACAACTTTTTTAGATAATAACAACTGCCATCTTGTTGGCTTATTCATGCTTCGCTTGCACCCTGACGTCCGTCTGAGTTTTCGACGTCTCATCTTTCCGGGATACATGAGGAGGAATACAGTGGCAACAATGGCCAGAAAAGCATTACACGAGAAATACAAACAAGCTCCCCTCCTCTCGCAAAAAGAAATACAACACATTTCACCTTGCTGCCTGATTCGCATCGCAGGCAAAGCACTTCCAAACTGCTTGCTGCGCATTTCTGTAAACCATGTGCTTGCCCTGGGAAGATCTCGAAAACACCAAGAACCCCGGCTTGGGGTCACATTATCAGTATAGCTACTTCAGTGTCAGCTTCCAACTGTATACTGTTCCAAAAAAATGTCACTTCTTGAGCAACCTCAGTACATCGCCAATGAGATGCAGGGAGCCAGTAACCAGGACCTATATACAAACATATCACCAGTGTCATGTGCGACATATTAGCTTGCAAACATAACAAGGACAAGATACATGTCTTCCTGATTACGTACGAGATAGGAAATTAAACATATTATGAAGCATTAATCGTGCTCTAGAAGCACAAAGCAGTGCAAAAATGCTAGCTAGTTATGGATGTTTTGTGCTATAAATTTTAGAAAAGTTAGTCTCAGAGAAGCTTTCACCTGATAAGAAGTAGATGGATCCTCTACGGCATTTTTCCTTAGCCACTCAATTGCTAGTGGCAGTGATTCAAACACTAGGCTAGTCTTGCCAGAATCCGTGCTGTTTGAACCTGCATCATTTACTCACAATTTTAATATAGGGTGTCATCTTCAGCCTGACCATGCATTGTTGCAATTAGAAAACGACAACGCAGTAGTAGAAGTGGTACAAATTGTTGTGCCTTTTGTAGTTCTCATAATGTATAGGGGTTCTTTGCTTATTTCCCTCGCATGTATATGTACTGCTGGCCCCGTGGAATAGAAGCTCATTTCATAACACAAATGACTAAAGCTTGTAAGCAACCAAGTTCAGACGAACCTTTATTGTCATCATGAAGTAATTTCTCCCACACTGCTTGGAGAGATAGCTGCCATGACAAATCAATTTGCTCAGGGCCAGCAGGTGCTGATGCCTTAGAACCAAGTTTGTTGTGTTGTGACTGATTTGGCACAAATAGGGCCAGATCAAAGTGCACCCCTGAACAAAATGAGATAGCAACATATGTTCAGTTAGCTGAAAACTGGAACAAACAGCAAACTTGAATGAGGGCTAAGCAGTAAGCAATGCAGTAAGTTTGGTTTGAACTGAAGTTGTTAGTAAATTCAACCAATCCAAGAGAAGTACAATATCATGCAAAAGAAAAATCATAAATGAGCGCACATGAGCATTTTCAACAGCAAGTTTTTCAACTTACCATTTTGAGTTGCAGTATCAACGAGATGTGGAAGCAATCTCATAGGATCTCTCACAGACATGCAGTTGAATAGAAGAATCTGCAATGTGTCCCATAGAAGACACCCGTATGAGGGAGAAGACTGAAACGATACATGCAAAAGCAAGTCCACTCAAACATGGTAATACTAGACAGGCTGTGAGAAATACCTTCCGAGATTTGCTGCAAGTCTGAGACTGCTCCTTGGTAGCATGGGAAAACCACTTCGCACATATTTCCATACTTTCAGGGCTGTGTGCTCCATCCAAATAGAATACCAAAGAACTATCTTGGTCCTTCTCTTCTGAATTTACTTGTGAATCTGGAACAATTTGCGCTCGGCCTTGCAAAGAAGCACTTGACAGCCCTCTAATGAACTGATCTGGTAAGGGATCCTGAATCCACCATAGATGAACAAATTATGATACCATATTTGTTTTGGGGAGAAGCAACATGAATTGACAAGACTTACAGTGTGGTTGAGTGGCATTCTGTCCACGTGTCCCTGCTTCTCAAGCCATGTACTAGCGAGTGCGACTGCAAGGCCAGCATTTTCATATTGGTGTTCACCTTGCAGTCCAAGATGTTGATCTTTCAACTGATGTGGCTTCAAAGGATCAACGACTTGGAGTGAAATCTTCAAAAAGCACAGAGTATAGTATTTCAAAAACTGTATTCCATTGTTTCTAGTATTGTGGTTACAAACAACAAGCAGGGCAGCAACCAAAATGGAAATGAAAACGGATAGAAAAAACATACGCCCAATTCTGAAGCTCTTCGTTTGAGAGCAACCATTGCCTCTTCTGGCTGTGGAGCAGTATAAGCTGGAACTCCTTTCTGTAAACAACAATGTTAATGTTAATAAAAGACACCACCAAGATACCAAACATAACAAGAAATTTGTGAATAACAATGTTAATATGGTATAGAACAACTTCTTGATAAAGTAATGTGTTGTATTTTCTGAACTACAAACACCATCAGTTACAAAAAAAGAGGCAATATATGTAACATGCTGTAGAACAACTTCTTGGGAAAGTAGTCATAAGAAAACCTTAAAAATTCCTGCCTTCTCCCCAGCAATTTCACCAAGCGTATTTCCTGCTCATCAGCAAAAAAAAAAAAAAACATGTCAGCATGAAACTAATTTTCCTAATAAAAGGGGTGCTTCAATTGCCAGTTTCATGACTAACCAAGAATTTCCATATGATCATACCCAAGAGAGGATATACCACAGACTACAGGAGATTTAACCTGCAGAGATCCAAATTCAGACAACGGTCATGCTCTAATTTGACTGTTTTTAGCGTATAATTCTGCCAAGCTCAGAAGGGCTCAGAAGAAATAGAAGCTAAACTTGAATGCTTGAATACTACAAGAATCAAGAATTTAGATGGACCTAAATGAATATATTCCGCACTCCTAGTATGGTTTGGAACTCAGGGTACAGATTAAGGCGAACAAGGCCGGCAATAGACTTAAATGGCATAGTTCAAGATTTTTCTTTTGTTTTCTAGACAAAATGAGCACATTACTGGACAAGAGTGACATACCACATTAGTTGCATCGAACTTCCCTCCAAGACCAACCTCGAGAAGAGCTACATCTACCTGTTTGAGGCAAGAAACAGGTGTGAGTAGATCAATAATGTTCTTCTGAAAATGCATATGCAGAACCTAATTTAGAGATCTCAAAATGAATATGTGATAGCTGATCATCACATAGGTTTTGCACCTTAAAATCATAGATTGTAGCACAATGCTATGCAAGTGAAATGGTGAAGAAAAGGGAATATTTTATGGATCAATCTTATTCAGGCTAGATTTATGTAATGACTGAAAACAAACCAGTAGGGAAAGAGTATGGAGTGTTTTCTGTCTATTACCTGCTCAGCAGAAAATATCTTGAATGCGAGCAAGGCCATGAACCTGAAATACGCTGGCATGGGAATATCATCATCAGTCTTCTCCTGAAGAGTGAAGATAAGCCCATTTGTCTCATTATCCACCAGGTACATAATTAAAGCAGCATGAAAAGACAAGATAGCTATGTTTCATCACTCCTATGCACCTAGCACAGAGTTTAACAAATTTGGACGTGTACCTTCAGTTTATTCCAGCAGCACCAGAAGTACTTCAAAAACTTCTCTTCGGAAATATCCACCCTGGTTGCATCACAAGTTAGGGGCCAGGTTAGTGCACGCATAATACCTAAGCATAGTGATAAGCTATGAAGGATGGTGCAGCACATTTGCATACAAAAAAATATTGTGAATAATTACGAGGAGCTATCGTTATCACTTATCAACACCAGGTTACACATGCATGGTACCTAAGCATAGGACAAGCTAAATTTAAACAAAGTTCACTGTCAGGTGTTCCCCTACAGTTTCAGAAGAAAAAAAAAACTAAAAGGGCTGTGCAGCACATTCGGATGTACTCCCTCCGTTTCTAAATATAAGTATTTCCAGATATTTCAATAAAAACTACATAAGGATGTATATAGACATATTTTAGAGTGTAGATTCACTCATTTTGTTCCGTATGTAGTCCCTTATTGGAATCTCTAAAAAGACTTATGTTTAGGAACGGAGGGAGTAAGAAATTATTGTGAATAATAACAAGGAGCTATCGTTATCACTTATCAACACCATAAGAAAAAATAAGAGCAATAGCAATGGATGAACAATTTACCCATCTAGCCGGAACCGCTCCCGGACATCCATCAAATGCGGTGAGGTGAATAGCCCGGTACGGAAGCCACAGGATCGCAGGATTGACTCCGTGAATGTGCATGTCGAACCCTGCACAAAACGGTCCATGGTGTCGTCACATAATACATCATAGGGAAGCCAAGGAGTTGATTAATCACGACATGTGGCATTCAGCAATTTTCAACAACCAACCAGGAGAGGTCTGTAACTGGTTTACACACTGCACCACGGTGCCAAATAATTAGCAGTAAACTATTGATTTGGTAAAAATCAAATGCTGCACATTAGTTGCTTAAATTTCAGGACCAAATTAGAATGCCCCAATCGTTACTGATGAAGTTTCTGAATCACAGTGGACATGAAAGGAAATCGCACATACTACAGAACCTGACACTGTAATTGGAGCTTGGAGAGAGTTGCATATCAGGTGATTTACCTTCCCTTTGGTGCCCGCGACATGGACGACCTTCATCCGCGCGATGGGCTCCTCCAGCTCCAGAATCTGAAGAACCAAATCCGCCCTCTAGATCAGACAACACATCCCTCCACCCACATCGCGATTGAGGAGGAGGACGAAGGAGTACCTGGAGGTAGCGGCCCATGAGGTCCCACTGGTTGCCGCGGTTGCCGGTGTCCGCGCGCACCTTCTGCGTGATGAGCGACGAGAGGCGGCCCAGCACCTCCTCGTACTCCCGCTCCGCCACGCCACCTGCAGCCCCAATCCCCACCACACCCCCACGTAGCAGCCATCAGTAGAGTACAGTTGACAGGTGCATCCCACCCAGCAAGCAAGCACCCCACGACTACGCGATCGAAGGGCAGGGCTGCTCACCTGCGTGCTGCGCGGCGGCGGCGGTGGTGGAGGAGGACTCCATGGCGCGAGAGAAGATGCGGCGGGTGCGGGGGGAGGAGAAGCAGGCGAGCGGCGAGGAGAGGAGGAGGCGGCGGCGGAGGGTGGCGGCGGCGGCGAGAGGGGGGTGAGGCATGGGCGGCGCGCGGCCGATGTGGGG